CTACAACCATAAACACTCTCAGAACTATTCCACAACCATAATCACTCTCAGCGCTATTACACAACCATAAACACTCTCAGAGCTATTCCACAAACATAAACACTCTCAGAGCTATTCCACAACCATAAACACTCTCAGAGCTATTCTACAACCATAAACACTCTCAGAGCTATTACACAACCATAAACACTCTCAGAGCTATTCTACAACCATAAACACTCTCAGAGCTATTACACAACCATAAACACTCTCAGAGCTATTCCACAACCATAAACACTCTCAGAGCTATTCCACAAGTATAATCATTCCCAGTACCATTTTAACATAATATTTAGAGATTTGCACTGTTAAATATGTGGCCCAAATTGTCCTACTGATCTTTTTCTGTAAATTAATTTTTAGCTGGGATTCACTAAAAAGTCTAATGAATCAGAAACAGAATAGAATATATGCAAAACTCACTCACACCAAACATGCGGGGAAAAAAATATTCACAGAGGTACATTGCACAATCAGAGTGTTTCCCAAAGTACAGCCCTCACAAACATTCTTATATCATCCGATCACAAAATAGTATTTCATGAAAAGTTCCAAAATAGACTTTACCTGAAAACCTTTTGTTGTGCCTCTTCCTAACTGTATACCCGCCATCTGATTACCAATGATGTCGTTTTCAACAACCCGGCCACTTCCTCTGGATACCACTCCATATTTGCTGTTGTCATAGATACCATTACCATGGAGATCAATAGAACTATTTTCTGTGATAGCTATGCCGGATCCAGCATTACAAGTGATACTGTTGTTAATAACCGTAGCTATTGGTAGTTGGTCAATGAGTACACCCGTACCGCAATTTGCATGGATGGCATTAGCTTCAACTTTCAGTACGTCACTTCCTTTGATGCAGACACCATTACCTGCAAATATACATAGGATTGACAGTATACGTTCGTAAATGGCAACCAACACATTGTTAAGAGTGAAAGAGCTTCAAGACTTACTGTTAATGTATTAATTATTCACTAGTTTTGAATTTTGTTATTTTTACAGATATGTAAAATCGGACAAATCAAATCTATGTTTAGTGTGAAATAACAATAGAACTCATTGTTTCCTTGGGCAGTTTAAATAGTGAAATTAAATGCCTGTGAAAATAAATGCTTTTACATTAACATCATTGGATACACTGTTGCCATGGAAACTACCAACTAAATAAACAAGCAGCCTGTCGGCTGAGATACTGTGGAATACTTTATTTTCGCCGGAATTAATTTTCGCTGAAAAGGCTTTTTGGGCGTTTGCTTGGAATTTATTTTCACTGATTTTGGATGAGTTTAAAGTGAAAATATAGGAAAAAAAGTATATTCGCTGGATTTTATTTTCACGGAATCATCCCTTCAGCGAAAATAGCGAAAATAAATTCCAAGCGAAAATAAAGTATTCTACAGTAGCTCCGCTATCTGCACATTTCAATTAAAAAACAGAAAATGAACTATATGTATAGTATCAAAGCAATGGGACTTGCTGTTTTCAACAAGAATTCGAAAATATCATTTTTACTAAAAATGACAAAAATATTCACCAAAATTAGAGAATTAAAGATATCATTACAAAATGAACAAATCTGAGAGAGGTCCACATGTATTCCTATATATGTACATTTGTAATATCAAAGCAATTGGACTTGCGGTTTTTAACAAGAAGTAAACAAGTAGCCTGTCGGCTGAGATAGCTCCGCTGTTAGCAATGCACATTACAATTAAAGAACTGAAGAATATATATATAAAAAGCAACAAGAAGTCAGAATATATCACTTTTTACCAAAAATGACAAAAATATTCATCAAAATTAGAGAATTGAAGATATCAACATGAAATGAACAAACCTAAGAGAGGTCTACCCAAGGTACATATACACCAAGTATCAAGTTGAAAAAGTAAAGCATTGACACAGACGACGACGGACAATCACTCATATGATAAGCTCTGCTTGACAAAGTCGACAGCGGAGCTAAAAAGAGCAGATAAAATGAAGTGGTATCCCAAACTTGTTTCCATATAATTAATGATTTTGTGATTTTCCTGTAGCTCTACTCTGACAGCCATTTCAAACAGAAAACAGTGCATTTCATGAAGATATGAATAAATTTCAAACAATAGTCGAAAATAAGTTGACCAATCACAATGCCTTAGCAGATACATATTGCTTGTATGTAATATTTTGTGAATTCATCATCAAGCAACCAATGATTGATGGATCCCACAAAGAATCATGGGTAATGAAAGTTACCAAATGCCATCTACAGCCAATCAAAGTGACTTCTTTGGATTTAAATGGAGCACAGTCTTCCAGGGTAAATGGTCAATAAATATTTTATAAATTTATATAAAAAAACAACAAAAACATTCATTTTTTATGAAATTCATTGTACATAAATTGTATACAACTTTACAATCACTTTGGTGGACAACGGTTATGTGATGTGAACACACAAAACATCAAAGAAACCAGAGAGTTTTCAAATTTAACTTCTTCTTTTCAGTTTCAGGGTGATCAGGTGACATATAACACCATTACAAAAGTATGTATTCTGATGCATGCAATAAAGTAGTCTGAAACACATCACAGATTAGAATATTTACCTGCATTGTGGTAGATACTGTTGTATTCAATAGTGGCAACTTTCACACATGGAGAAAGATCAATATCATCTTCTTCTTCAGGCACTTCTAGCTCATTACCATGATTACCAGCAGTATCCATGTTACCATGGTGACCAACATTGTCACGATAGGCAACAAATGCAATCCCGGCATCATTATTGTTACTGATCTGGTTACCATGGAGAAGTGGCTTGCTTGATGACATAATCCACACTCCATGTCCAAAATTACCTTCAAAAATTAATAAACAAATGCATCAATACATATTTAGTACATATTTTTTATGTCAATGAAAAATCATAGCAGAACTATCACTAGAGGGCATAGCTCATTCGAGTTGATTTCGCTGAACTCCCTAGACTGGTTAAAATAAGCACAATATTTGACTCTGTAAACTGGTTAGAATAATCACAATATATGACTCCCTAATCTGGTTAAAATAATCATAATATTTGACTCTTTAACTGATTAAAATAATCACGATATTTGTCTCCCTAGACTGGCTAAATGAGGCACAATATTTGACTCCCTAAACTGGTTAAAAAAATTTACAATATTTGACTCCTTAAACTGATTAAAATAAGCACAATTTTTGACTCCCTAGACTAGCTAAATTAGGTACAGTATTTGACTCCCTAGACTGGCTAAATTAAATACAATATTTGACTCCCTAACCTGGTTAAAATAATCACAATTTTTGACTCCCTAGACTGATTAAAATAATCACTGGAGTCAATTGTATTTCCTAATTGTCATGGATCATAAGCACTGTGGATAATTTGCATATGTTTTTGTTTCCAAAAAATCCATCAAAGCATCACAATGTTTGAATGGAATGAGCACTAAATTCTGGATATTGTGAAGTCTTAAATATAAGATTTTTACCATGTATAACATTATTCTCTAGCGTACCCAACGCTTCCAGTCCAATAACAACACCATCAGAAGCACCATTACATATCCAGTTGTTTTTTATTACAGGGTTACCACCATTTCTTATATCAACACCACCCCACTGATTATCACTTATCAAATTATCTAGAAACAGATGAAATAAATCCATCAGAAATTGATGTCACATGAAAAAATGTCAATAGTGTAGTGATTTTTAAATACAAATCACAGTTGAACCAAAAGTGAATATAAAAACAGAAACAAATATTAAAAGTAATTTATTTATAATTTTAAATAGAAAGACTATACTGCAAAGGTTTAATAAGTTACATGTGTGTATGGATGCATGCGGATAATACAGTACAGTCTACTAGTACCAGTATGTGGAACTTAAAATTTTAGTGAGCTTTTAAGGTAACTCAAGGTTGCTCAACTTGCTTTCAATATTATCATATCCAAATTTGGCAGGGTAATCTGCATAAACACGTCTCATATAAAGTAACTTTGGTAAATACTGCAAAGAATAAGTTGAAATTATTGATGAAAATGTAAGTTTCTATGAAAAGGTAATGTCAGCAGAAAGCCAGCTTAAACTTCAAACTGGACTATACAGGGGCTACTTCATGTTTACTAAAGTCTACCATATTCCCACAAGGCTTTCAGAATAGATAAATATTGCTAGTAAATAACACGGTATAAGAGTTAGCATGTGTTCAGACACTGAATACTGAAACCAAAAACCAGGGAGCGGACATATTTTCAACTTTAAAGCGGTATAGAAATCCTAGGTATGTGGGAGTAAGAGCATTTATTTTAAATGACGTCGGCAAGCATTGAGTAATGTGATTAATTAATTTGGACAAATAAACAAGTAAATAAAATCTTAAATAGCAATAGACATATTTATTCTGTTAGCATTGTAATAGTTTGAACCAGGGTTTTATTCAGGCAGTAAAAAATGAAATTATATTAATTAATTCTTAACAAATCATCAAAAAGCCACAGTAAAGAAATCTTTGAACACCTTTGATTTTTTTGTTCACATGCTGAATGACTTCTTATAATGCGTGAAATTGAATGTAAAAACAGGACGAACAAAGGTCATAGTTGTAGTGGTGTCAAAACTACACATGGGAATCAACAAATGCAAAACTATTTTGTGGGTATTTCCACGGTTAACAGTGTGCTATACACATTATAAGAGGGTCAATTTTGATGAAGTAAAAATATCTGAACATTAAACTACAAAAAAAAAGAAGAAGATCCAACTTAAAAATCAAATCTTTTGAATTTTCCGGCAGACGCATCTTTCACGTATAGCGTAAGATTGCACAGTGAAATAAAAATCACCTATATATTCAGTAAGACCTTGTTATCATGAGAAATCCTACTACCCTAGTTTGATGTGAAACATTCAACACAAGATGAATTAAACAGGAATCTAGTTGTTCGAGAACTCTCGGAGCGGAGCTACATCACAGAACGTTCTATGTTGCTAAGCCTTGTACTACTACACATGCATTTCTATAGGCTCTGTGCGAGCTGGCAAGAGTCGGTGAAAACGGATAAATTTCAGAAAAAACAGCACAAACTCAAATTTATACATATTGCACATGTAGGAGTAATCTTGTTGCACTGTTGAGGCGAGTGTCCCAACAACTAGACCAAGGTTCAGTTTTTTTTATGGAGTTCTGGACAGTTTTTTTCACCAGTGCTTGCGAAGCATGAAAAATGCCTGGATGTTCGCTCCCAAGAGTATGTAGAAATAGTCAATACATATGTTGCACCATATTTGCTCTATTAATAGGTGCGTTTATGATCGAAATAAATTATATTTTAGAGATCCGGTATACCACAAATGTAATTTTTTAATTATGCAACCCATATAGATATGCTACTATTAAAGAAAGTATGGTACTGTGAAATACTTTATTTTCACTTGGAATTAATTTTCGCTATTTTCGCTGAAGAAGTGATTCAGTGAAAATAAAATCCAGTGAATATACGTTTTTTTCTACATTTTACATTAAACTCGCCAAAAATCAGTGAAACTAAATTTCATACAAAACACCCAAAATGTCTTTTCAGCGAAAATTAATTCCAGCTAAAATAAAGTATTTTACAGTATTTTAAATGAAATAAGATATTACTGACCAGTGATGTATCCTCTTCCCTGTTCATTGATAGCAATCCCAGCAGCCTTACCATGGCAGATTCTATTACGTCTGTAGTAATATAAAGGACAAAATGGTAAATTCAATACACTAATTGAAAACATTGAAAGATTAAAATGATATGAAAATAATGTTTGTTTTTTTTGACTGTGACAGAGAATCTTAGTAAAGTATTAAAGTCAACAACAATTTATTATAAAAAGAAATTATCAATAAACATCATTTCAATTACGGAATTGAAGATATCATCATGAAATGAAAAAATCTGAGATTGGCCCACCTGAGGTACCTATATGTACAATATCAGAGCAATCAGACTTGTGATTTAGAGAAAAAAGTAAAAACAAGCAGCCACTCGGCTGAGATAGCTCCGCTGTTAGCAATGCACATTCCAATTAAAGAACAGAAGATATCATTAGAAAATGAACAATATGCATAGTATCAATGCAAAAAATTATGAGACTTGCTGTTTTCAACAAGAATTCAAAAATATCATTTTTCACCATAAATGATTGTAGTTTTTAACAAGAAGAAAATATCATTTTTTACCAAAAATGACAAAAATATTCACCAAAATTAGAGAATTGAAGATATCATTACAAAATGAACAAATCTGAGAGAGGTCCACATGTAATACATATATATGTAATATCAAAGCAATTGGACTTTTGGTTTTTAACAAGAAGTTGAAAATATCACTTTTTACCAAAAATGACAAAAATATTCACCAAAATTAGAGAATTGAAGATATCATTACAAAATGAACAAATCTGAGAGAGGTCCACATGTAATACCTATATATGTAATATCAAAGCAATTGGACTTTTGGTTTTTAACAAGAAGTTGAAAATATCACTTTTTACCAAAAATGACAAAAATATTCACCAAAATTAGAGAATTGAAGATATCATCATGAAATGAACAAATCTGAGAAAGGTCCACATGTAGCATCTATATATGCAATATCAAAGCTATTGGACTTGCGGTTTTTAACAAGAAGTCAAAAATATCACTATTTACCAAAAATGACAAAAATATTCCCCAAAATTAGAGAATTGAAGATATCATCATGAAATGAACAAATCTAAGAGAGGTCTACCCCAGCTACATACACACCAAGTATCAAAGCATTCAGGTTTGTAGTTTTCAAGAAGAAGACGAAAAAGTAAAACATTGACACGGACGACGAACAATCACTCATATGATAAGCTCCGCTCGACAAAGTCAACAGCGGAGCTAATAAAAACAATCGGACTTGCGGTTTTCAACAAGAAGTCAAAAATATCACTTTTTACCAAAAATGAAGAAGTCGAAAAAGTAAAACACTGACATGGACGACAGCGACGGATGACGGGCAATCACTCATATGATAAGCTCCGCTCGAAAAAGTCGGCAGCAGAGCTAAAAATTGTGTCTGAGGCATTTTAGAAAATTGTGAATGTGGTCATCTATAGAAACTGTATATTTAGTGTTACTGCTATTACCGGTAGGTTTACTCATTACTTTTTTGCTTGTATTGAAGCGAAAATTCCTATTGTATTACAGAATGCTCTGAAATAACTCCAGTAGGTGACTAGAATTTCCCATTCGTCATACAGGTACTTGTGTTTCATGCATTATATCATGAGAAAATATGGACTAAGAAAACATCTGCAAATGTGGAAGGAAAACATCAAACACCTAAAATGTAATTATGTAATATTTCACTGAAAACAATTAAATTTATCAGCCGCATCTGTGATTCTTCTAAAACATATCCTGCATTCATTTCAATGTTACTGTTATGTTTTGATATTTTGAGCCTTTTTTACTTGTTTTTATAGTTTCACGAATTTTACAAATTCATTTGTATTAAACTTAGTGAATCTTACTTATTAGTGGAATTATAAACCAGTGAATAATCAATGCATTGATGCACAAATCCATCCATCCATACACATCACGATCCGGTTCCGGATATGGGATTTTGAAAAATTTCAAGCATAAAAAATGGTTGCCATCCGACCATCTTGAATCAGATCATAAAACAAATGTCTTACAAAATACATGATCAGCCAAAGACACAAATAAATGCACAATCAGCAAGTTCCTGTTTTTAAACATTATCTGAACAGGACTATAAAGCTTATCATGAAAATACTGCAAAATACATACTAAGGCAGTACAGGGTGGCATCATTATTCTAGTAATAATGTAAACAACAGCAATAACTCGCACTTTCATGATATTGCACTATGCTATGCAGAAAAAAGATACTGCCCTGGTGATTAACAATTATTATACTAACCTTACTGTTGGAATGCCTTTATAAAGTATGTATATACCTGCTTCTTTGTTACAATAGATGTCATTATCACATATATTGCCCTTACCGCCACCCAAAACCACTATTCCAGAACGTTTACCATGTCTTATGTGATTATTCTATAATGAAGAAAAAACATAGCAAAACTATTACAACCTTGTCCACGAAGAATCCAGAATACTGTAGAGGGGTTAATTATTCCCTGGGTTTTAATTTTGTTTATTTCGCTGACTAGAAAATGCGCTAAATTAAAACCCAGTGAATATGTAAAATTAAGCATAGAACACGTTACCTAAATGATAAAATCGTGAATTTAAAACCCACTGAATATGCCTGAAATGGTAAATCAGTGAAATTTAAACCCAGTGAAAATTAGTCATTTTACAGTAACCTTTACACCCTGCTAGCCTCATGTACTTCTACAAACTCATAAACTCATTTCATAATATATTGTTTTAAAATTGCTTGCTCTTATTTAGTCTTGTAGGTTCATTTACAAAGCAACTATAGTGGCAATTGTTTACGGTGTTTACGGTGTACAAATGTCTTCACTGAAATAAATAAAAGAAAGCAGTATGTTGGCTGCACATGTTTTTTATATCTACTTACAGTAGATGGCATCTACTACAAAGCCAAGAATATTTCAGAAAATAGCACAGGCTTTGAACAAGCAGAAAATAGGGATAGGTGATTTTCCGTTCAACTGCAAGATCTTGCGAATTGCGTGTAAGACTCACATGGAACGTCTGTCGCGTAAATTGAGCGATTTGATTTTGAACTTGAATTTAAAAGCTAAAGCCAAAACTGTTAATTTAACACATGATACTTTAAATAGGTAGAAAGACTATTTCATAAACAGTATCATCAAATAAGCATATATACGACAATGAACAGAATCTGCATAATATCCAGTATTGAACTAAGAATTACCAGGAAATGAGACAATGATAATCTTATCATGCTATCTTATCATGCAAACTATCTAATTACAACCGAGGACTATCGACAGTCAATACCAATTATATTTTTTTTGGAAAACCAGAAAAATTTAATTCATGTGAATGAGCTTAAAATAATGTAAATTAGCTGTAGTCATTCAACAAATATATCATGAGTTCCCTACACATAGTAAATGTGGGAAGGGGGGGGGGGTATATTCCATCTACAAGTCATATTTCATATAACGAACAAAAATGCTCAAGACGTATCGGTATACTTTTTTACATTAAAATAACCAGGTACATGTAATAGATTTAAAAAAGAAGATTTCTTTCAATTCTTGTTGCCAAAAAATTGAATATAGTTTGCAAAAAGTATAAATTCTCTTTGTATTCCTATAAGCTAACAATAAATATAACAAATCAAAAGTGAATAGAAATGATAAAGGTACTATATCGGAAGTATTAATCAAATTTTATCTTTAGAAAATGTGCAATAAAAAGATGTGCAATAAAAAGAGATTGCAAGTATCCTAGCAATAAAAAGAAATGTAAAAAATAATATAAGTATGTAAATAAAAATGTGATGGACTGCCATTGGCTTCATTGTTATAGTGTATTATACACGTGTCACTGTAATGCTGTAAGTTACAGCGTACTGTAATCTTGCGGTATTGCACTTGGTATTTTCATCCTACCATATTAGGAAACACAAATTCCAGATATTGATCGATCATGCGTAAGTGTCCTCTAATAATAAAAACAAACATGGCTGCCCCCAGGGTTTGACCAGACCCCACACAAAGAAGTTTGCTATATCAGTTCTAGACGTTTTGGATTTCGGCATTCCCAAAATATATTCCGGGGAGGAAAAGATGTATAAGACACTCAGACAGTACGTGGTCGCATCAACCTCTTCCGCGCGTTGGTCGATATTCCTGCTGTACTGTCTTTGTGCATACTTTACAGTATCCTCGTAATAACCTCATATTATCATATGCATGTTATCACCCAGGCGTGAAGTCACACTGTAGTGATATGCTTTTCATAAATTTCATATCAGTACATGTGCGTGATATACCGGTAGTTATAGTTAAAATATTTTGAAACCTGTGAAATATGTGAGGTACACATATTGTAAATAATATTGATATATTTACAGTGTTGTATCACTTTGTGCATTTCTTTCATCTGAGAATTGCTAGCTGTTTTCTCCGTAGTAAGCAACTAGTTCACCCACATCACTTGGTATGATTCGTATGTTCGTTCGTACAATTCTCATGGAATTTCACCAACAGAAATAATGTGACCTTTGAATTAGACATAACTTGATGATGTTATATTGGAAATAATTATTTTATTAAACCTTAGTTAACTAAATCAATTACATACAAAAAGCATTATGTTTTTGAGATGAACCGACATGCAATACAAAGTTGGTGACGCACAGAACTGTGATAAATTTAAAATATTTGTTTAATGTGAATACCTTTGAAATAAATGCATCCAGTTTAAATGCATAACTCAATCTATATAATCAGGTTTCCAATATTACCGTACTTCCCCGATCATAAGCCTAGTGGCCCTTAAGGGAAAGTAAAGGGTGGGAATATATTCGAGGACCACCTCAGGACAACCTCGTTCACCATTCCAGGCTTGGAGGGATATTACTGGTACGATTTTTTAAAGAAAAAAAAAGAGCGAAACAAGTCGTCATTGATTTCCACAACACTTTTACAATGAAGAAATAAACATACACAAACAATACGATTTACATACCGTCTGAATTTATGGTGTAAAAATTGGTAGGGTATGTGGGAAAACAGACGAAGGCAAGATCTTTAGCATTATCTTCGTTGTGGAATGTTTTCAATCATACACAAACTCTTTTTCAGCAAGATTTGACCTGAAACAACGTCCTTTGATCTAACAGGTCACATCTTTCATTAACCAATCAAAATGCTGTGTCATACTGACGAAGTTTTCTGATTATTGATGATCTAATTTTTTTAACGCAATGCCGAAGTGCATTTCTGCGATGTAAAAATGCGATCTGATTTTGATGGAAAAACTTATTTTTCCCCCTGGAAGCTGGTGATTCACAATTTTCGAACGGTAAACTGAGTCTGCAGGAAGTATTTAAACATCTTTCACGGTCGCCAACAGGTCATGTCGAAGAATAGTTTACTTGTTCACCTCCCATTCACAATAATCCTAATGGACATGATTACTGTAAAACATGTCTTTTTCGCAAGCATGTCTTTTTAGCGAGAGAAGTGATTTGCTAAATCAAGATGTCGCTAATGACTTTATTATAAATTCAAAATGGCCAAGGGCTTGGGAATTTGTATACAGTAATCCGGAACATAAAAATCTGGGGCGCTTCCTAATTATTACACTTGACAGTTTTTCTTTGTTTTTAAGGAGTTTGGCACGTGACAGAAAAGCATTGGGAAAACAGGAAATCAACAATGACAAGAGAAATTGGCTAAATCAGAATTTCACTATTACGCCATTTTACCACAATTCGCTGAAATTGCATGTCGCTTTTTCAACATGTTTTACAGTAATCGAAAAAGTAGAATGATATCCAATGACCAGGTTTCATGAGCCAAACTACCGTAACTAAGCATAATTTTTATGCAGTGAAACACACTTTTTACACGCATATTTTAATAAATGTTGTCACCGCCTGGTAAAAACACCCTGGGCTTACAATCGGGGATGCCCTCAATTTGTATGTGTCTAAAAATATACGAGTGGGCTTATACTCAAGGAGGGGCTTATAATCCTGAAAGTACAGTATATTAACAAATCTCTGTGAAATATGGTAAATCCAGAGCTACTAACTAACGGATTCTGCCATGAATTCGCCCATCCGAAAAATCGCCCTAGTGGGCGCTTATTTGGGGTTCAAAATTTCAAAATGATTATCAAATATTTTTGGGGGACTTGTATTTTCATTGCGCTGACTTTCAACCCTGGCAGTTGGACCACCCACTGTGGGTACAACTGATCATAAAGTGATTTCCCTTAATCTAGTATTGTACTGATAACTGAAAAGTTCCACTGAACCATGTCAAAAATCTCAGAGTACACAAGTGCAACCAAATTATGTCTCATACATGCTGACAAGAAACTGCATTTATAAATCTGAGCAAACCTTGAGTTACCTTTAATGACAACTTGTATTTGTTAATTCAGGTCTTTGTATATTACGAGAACCTGTGTTTGTTTCAGCAGCACCTCTATAATTCCCATCAAAATGTAGCCGTGACACCCCTCTACAGTTTCCACTGAGATTGGTAATGGAACGACCTATTTATCCAATAGCCATGACAACTGAAGCTATATTCAGACCACTTGTTCAAAATTAATTCAAAATTATTTGTTCTTGAGATATTGATGGAAAAGCTGAAAACTAATTATGCAAATCAGGTAATTAATATGAACAGATTTGAGTGTAAAACTAATAAGGTCTGTGTGATGTAACAGACTATCTATGTACCAAATTTCAATGGAATGTGATTAGAACCAAAACAATTATGAATTAATATGAACAAATTTTAACCCAAAATTAATCAAGCCTACTTGAAATATCAAAAGCTGGATATTAATTAATTATGCAAATTAGGTAATTAATATGTACTCATATTACCCTAAAAACTATCAGGTCTGTGTAGTGTCCTATGACATCTATGTACATGTACCAAGTTTCATTGGAATGTGATGATTTCTACTTGAAATATCAAAAGCGGAAATTTAAATAATTATGCAAATTAGGTAATTAATATCTACTGATATTACTCTAAAAACTATCAGGTCTGTGCAGTGTTCTATAATATCTATGTACCAAGTTTCATTGAAATGTGATGATTACCACTTGAAATATCAAAAGCAGAAAATTAATTATGCAAATTAGGTAATTAATATGTACTGATATTACCCTAAAAACTATCAGGTCTGTGCAGTGTCCTATGACATCTATGTACCAAGTGTCATTGAAATGTGATGATTAGTACTTGAGATATCAGTGGAGAAGCCTAAAATTGATTAATCATTATGCAAATTAGGTAATTAATATTGCACAGATTTTTACCCAAAACTAATCAAATCTGCACATTAGTTTGGAGCATCTATGTGCCAAGTTTCATCAAAATCTAATGAGTGGTTCTTTAGATATCAGTGAAAAAGTCATGGAACGGGTAAAAATCAGCTAATTATCATGCAAATTAGGTAATTAATATGCATGGATTTTTTACCAAAACCTAATCAAATCTGCGCATTGGCCGAGAGCATCTATGCACCAAGTTTCATCAAAAATCAATGTATGGTTCTTGAGATATCAGTGGAACAGACACAGACACAGACACACAGACAGACACACTAACTGCAAAGACTCCCTATTTGTGCTTCGCACATGGGAATCAAAAATTATAAATGAAAAATCATAAAAATTTATATTGTTCAAAATAGCATATTCATTGACTATGGTAAACTAAAAATTATCAAGTTCGCAAGAAAACTGCTAACGACGATGACCGACATGTTACCCTCTATACCATGAGATTTAAAATATGATACATACCTGTATAAATGGATCAGCTTGTTTCCTGATATCAATTCCTGCTTCTCCGTTAGCGTAGATATCATTTCCAGCAATCACACCTTCTGAGGAGAGCCTCATGAACACTCCTGATGTTCTACAGTGGTGGATCAGATTCCATATTATTGAAACCTAGCAAAATAATTGGAGAAACTCGTAAAATGTTTTTAAAAATCATTCAATTCCTACTACAGTCCAGCTGGAGGGCTTTATAAATATCTCGTCAGCCAAGCAATGGTTGTCTGCTCATTAAAGCACCTTATGTTCAACTCTTCACATTTCACAGACTTTTCCATAATCAGTGTGAAATTTTCGATAAATTTTTAACCTTTATGATTTTAGCTTAACAGATACAAGCCACTGAGAATGTCACTGCCCTTTTTTTTGTACTTATGACCATTCAACAGTCAGTATTTATATGCTCCTTTTTTGTACAAGTGCTTGTTTCAATTCTACACTGTGAACTGAATGTCTTGAACAGCAAAACAACATGTGTGAATCTATAGCGTATATGTCGCCTAAATAAAAACAAAATGGCTGCCAGTCAGCCATCTTGGATTATGACACAGATCAATTTTCATCTATGTGTTCCAACACAATTGTCTATAACCAAATTTGGATCTAATTGAAGTGTAAATTTGAGATGCAAGTATAATTGTGCAATAACACAATCCATAAAACCCTGGATTTACATAGAGTGAAATACTGTACAATACTTTATTTTCGCTTGGAATTTATTTTCGCTGAAGGGATGATTTCGTGAAAATAAAATCCAGCGAATATACTTTTTTTCCTATATTTCACATTAAACTCATCAAAAAACAGTGAAAATAAATTCCATAAAAAATTAATTCCAGCGAAAATAAAGTATTCCACAGTATTAGAATTACATCTACATTTATGGATGACCAAAAATAAAGATACCGATATGCAGCATTTTTTTATAACTCTATTATCTTAAAAGCTGATGTACATGTACAATACTGTATTTGCTCGATTAGATCTCCAATACAAGTGCACATAAACCAAAAATTGTATTTTTTGTATACAAAAATCATAGAAACATGCATATAGTTATTTATGTAATCACATTCACTAATATAAGAGCAATTCAGTATATAAATTATTTTACCTGATTTTATAGATGGAGAAACGTGATAATGTCTGGTTTAATAGTAGGATTAAAGTGAACTACATGTACCGTAAAATCTGTATTAGAAGCCGCATCCCTAATAGAAGTCGCATCCATACTATTTGAATAATTGAGAACTAAAAATTCATCATTTCTCATATGTGTAGATGCTCTAATAGAAGCCGCATCCCCTCTGTTGCATTGTACCATTTTAATAGAAGCTGCGGCTTCTAATACAGATTTTACAGTACTACTGGGGGAAAACGTGAGCGATACAATACACAGAAATGAAAACACAATCCAAGAAATGATGAGTAACAAATGTTGCACAGAGCATAGTCTCCCACCTTTGATGTTTACTATAACTGCACATCCAACGTTGCTGAGTGTCCGTAACACTAGTAACAAAATTTAGTTTGAAAAAAAAAAAAAAGGCGAAATATGATAAACAGCGACTTACCCTAGAAACTTGTATACACCTGATGCCATAGGAACAATCATGAATATCATTTCTATAAAGTCTAACATTGCCATGGCAACTGACCATTATTCCTCCACCTTGGCACTTGTGTATTTTGCAATTCCTAACAACACATCCTCTTAATTTCTCCAGGAACTCTTTGATTTTACCGTAGTTTTGAATGACACTACTTGTCGACTTGGTTTCTTCCTGTGACTCTGCCTGTACATGTGGTCTCAAGAGATCGTGAAATTTCCCCTGGGTGAGTCTCTGCCCAGCTAGATAAGACAATTGATGAACAGACGGGTCTGGTAGACTTTCTTGATCACTGTCGTCGCTATCAGAAGAAAGTGCAGATGCATCCGAATCGTATAGAATATAATGGTTGTTGGCAGCATCATCGTTTAAATCAACAAGGCTACTGTTATTGGATTTCATATTATTGGGGTCTTTACAGTCTGGCTGGTAATTGGGAAGTAATGATGTGCCTGCCTGAGGTTTTAGTTGGTCTATACTGTACTGTGAAACAATAGATTGCACTGATTCTTGTAACCATCTGTATACCCATCCATATTCGGCACCAGAAAATTTAAAGCCCCATGCACTGATCGCAGCCGAGTTGTTACTCTGAACGAACTCGCAATTCTCGATCAGACTCACATTCAGAGAGTCTAGTTCTATGGACGAATGATTGAATTTGGAAAAACGAATGTGACAAGTCGCCGGTGCATGGATCTCAATGTTGCCATCCTCAAACAGACAGTTGTCAATTTGTATATGACCAAGTGTTGACTGCAAATATACATAAAAAAAATGTTATTATTAAGTAGTTCTGTAAGTGACGTAGAACTGGACAGCAAAAATATCCTCGTTTTGTGTCATACATCACTGATCCACACAATAGGCACGTGATAAATTTTACTTAAATCTTATAACCATAACCTACTGAACTAGATTGTGCTCTATGAGAAAACAATTATTATTATCTTAGAAAGATCTCTCGTATGCTGAGGGTAATGTAGGCATATGAAGTGGAAATTGAGAATATTTAAAATTTAAAGAATACTCTTTTGAGCAGAAAGCAAATACTATGCTTCTTGAGACACACTATGTGAATGTGAAAGCAATGTTATTTGAAGTGTTGACGGTTTAAATAATAAAAACATACATCAGTAGATTGCAGTTTGTGGTTTATCTAAATGTATGTATATGTATGAACCAAGTTTAATTGAAATCTAACAAGTGGTTTTTAAGATTGTTGCCGAAAGTTGCCTAATTTATGCAAATTAGGTGATTGTACTGTTCAAACCTACTGTAAAATGACTAATTTTCACTGGGTTTAAATTTCGCTGATTTACCATTTCAGGCATATTCAGTGGGTTTTAAATTCAAGGTTTTATCATTTAGATAATGTGTTCTATGCTAAATTTTACATATTCACTGGGTTTTAATTTAGCGCATTTTCCAGTTAGCGAAATAAGCAAAATTAAAACCCAGTGAATAATTAATCCTTTTACAGTAATATGGATTGCATATGGATTACACCTATATACCAAATTCCATTGAAATCTGATAAAAATTTACTCATTTATGTAAATTGAGTCAGTAATATGCATACAGATTTCAACTCTATACTAAACACACAAGCGACAAGTAAAGTATCTCAGACAACCTATGTCTCATTTCAATCTGTTGAGTGGCTTTTCAGATATCATTGAAACAGCTGAAAATTTGCTAAATATTATGTAAATTAAGTAATTAGTATTCATGAATTTTTTTAATTGATATTTACTATAAGGGCGCGTCATCTTGAATACGGCATGAAACTAAATAAGAGACAAAATGAGAAATGCATTCAGACAAATCAGGAAAAAATAACTATCAATCAGAGGCCGAGCTTCCATTTAAAGAGTAAAAGATACAAGTCTACAAGGCGCCTATTGCTATAATGTTTAAATTAACTTGTTGAGCCAATGACAAACAATTAAAATCATAACAATATGAATGATCATGTAACTTAACACATCCCTCGCTGATCCATTTTTTTCCGTTCTCAAGAGTAAAAGATTTAAGTCTACAAGGCGTCTATTGCTATAATGTTTAAATTAACTTGTTGAGCCAATGACAAACAATTAAAATCATAACAATATGAATGATCACGTAACTTAACACATCCCTCGCTGATCCATTTTTTTCCGTTCTCAAGAGTAAAAGATTTAAGTCTACAAGGCATCTATTGCTATAATGTTTAAATTAACTTGTTGAGCCAATTGACAAACAATTAAAATCATAACAATATGAATGATCATGTAACTTAACACATCCCTCGCTGATCCATTTTTTCCCCGTTCTGTTTGGCAATCCTTGGAAGATTTTAGCAGATGATGAGTAAAATACTGATACTGTAAAATATTTTATTTTAGCCGGAATTAATTTTCGCTGAAAAGACATTTTGGGTGATTTGTATGGAATTTATTTTTACTGGTTTTGACGGGTTGAATGTAAATATTCGCTGGATTTTATTTTCACTGAATCATTCCTTCAGCGAAAATAGCGAAAATTAATTTCAAGGATTAGAAAATAAAGTATTTTACAGTAGTCCCTATTCAAACTTTCAGTGCCACAGTCACCATCTGTCCACATAAACAAATTTTAAACCCACATAATTTTTTTTCATAATTTTTCCATAGTTTTAATTAAGACCTGTAGACAATAAGAAATTATGTCCATTTGGCAACAATTATATTTAAAAAAATAGAACAATACGTAAAAATGGGAAAAATTATGACGCTCGTAAGGTTAACAAGATTTGAATCAAATTGATAATAATACGACATGATCTTTATGCTTTCAATATTATGGGTTCATGTCATCAGAATACCAAAAATAAAGTTTTTTGGAACCGAACAGACAGTTTTGAACCAACTACAGGTCTTAATGACAAATTTTGCACAGATATGCGGGGACAAAAAATTTGACTCAGAGGATTAAACATGTTTTGTAGAATGTTTTTAAATGATTTACAATGTAGAAATTTCTTTCTTAGAAATTTAAATACTAGTATATGACTGTTTTGAGAGCAAGTTAAACCAGCAATGTTAAGTTTGGACCAGACTAAATGTTTTAAACCAAATTTTAAATGAGTATTGGCGAATGGTTACAGTGAGCACAAACAGATTTATACAGGAAATTAGCAAACTCCCTAAGAAAGTCCTTATGAACATTGCAAAATAGTGAGGGATTTTTTATTGGCATTATCGAATGATCTAATGTTATGAAAACAATTTGCAATATTTTGTGACAATGTCACTTCCCCTGGTGCCACTTGATTTTAGACTAATTAATTTTTGTCTAGGTACATATTATGGTTAAGCTATTGTCTGTTTTCATTTTGCAACATTGTTGTGACTGTACAATAGAAGTTGAAAATTATTTGTATGAATCTTATTTTTGGTCACTTCAACCACCTGGAAAGTTGATGGGAGTATTGGAAGTTGATAAGGTCATTCGAACATTGACCGAGTTTTTCTTAGAAAAGTTATAGGTTACCTATACGAGTCTCGTCTGTGCGCACTGTGAGGGCTACCGGTAGTGGAAGCACAGAGTCCTGTTAAGGTAGCAGGATAGTTTGTTTTGTATGAAAAATGTAAACACCTATAATCGGAATAAATTTTACAAGAAACCATACAATCTATATATGTTTGGAAAGCACTTGACTTGTATTTTCCTATTATTAATATTTTGTGAACATTGTGTTTGTTTTAGCGTCACGTGATTCTGAAAATCATCGGAGCTGATAATTTAACTAAACGTGAATAAAATTTTAATTGTCATCTCTACAGTTATTCATGCAATCAAAAACTTTACACTGTTTTGAAGCAAAGGTCATGAAGTTTGAATCCGTATTTCTATTTTTTGCATCAAGTTTCTTTTTCCTTTCCGAAAATCACAAATTTCAAGCACGTTTTTTGGTGTTAAAGTTAGTAGTAGGCCAAAACTCAGTTTTATTGTACAACCCTACCTGGATGATGGTGGACGTAAACCATGGAGCTTTTATTACAACATTACATATCCTGGCAGTTTCAGCTTGTAGTTCAATACTTGCAGTTAAAACAACTTGGCCTAATTTTCCGTAACCCACCAGTTCTAGTGGTAACTTCGTCAGCATCATAATCTGTTCATCATAAGTACCGGGATGTAAATAGATTCGATCAAAAGCATTTGCATTATTCAATGCATCTTTCAAACTTGTGAACTCGCAATCTGCGCCAACGTGAAGCGTTTTCCTATCCCGACGTTTACGAAACACATACAGACACTGCGACTGATCAGTATCTTTCCAGTATTCACACCAGACTTTATTGGCCATGTAGTTGTCTTTGAGACATTGTTTCCATGACTTTGGATCTACAGTTGGTGATATAGGCCAATTTGGATGGCGCCATTCGGGGTACGAGTAGTAACGCTTCTTCCAGACTGTGTTATCTAAACTATTGACAAGTTCATTCCAAAGTACACACACTTGGCAACACCGACAAAGCTCCTGTACAGAAAAATAGTGGAAGACCAGCCTCCATAATTCGGGTGGAAGAGTAATCTCGTGTTCATGTTCATAATTTTTCAATAACTTGGGTGGCATGTTTAAACTGGATGGAGCAGTGTGTGATTATTGCAAGTTACCATCTCAGACCCCAGACCATGTGCTTCACTTCCTGAAAAGTAATCAATAAGTAGTTGGTGAGGGATCATAAAAAACTGAAACATATGCACAGCAAATTTAATTTCTTCATTCCCTCCCCCTGTGAAATATATGAAAAAATATATAAATATACCCTGTGAGTTTTCAATTTTAAGAAATATATAAAGTTTGAACATAAACAGTCAGAGAATGTCAGCGATATTGCTCCAAAACTGCATTCAATAAAATGGCCACCAGGCTGCCATTCGTGACGTGAATTAAGAGTCTATAAAGTTTAATGTAAATTTCAAGTTTGAACAAAATGGTGGAAATCAAGATCATGAATTGCAGAAATGCTTGATTTTATTAAAACAACCGCAATTCGGCCATCCTGAAAATGGTAATCAAAAGAATAAATTGCAACACAATGTGTGATGGATATTGTATATGTAAAGTTTAAACATTACGGTATTAGTTAGAACATGTCAGAGATTTAACTTCGAACTAAACCAAATAGCAACCAGTCAGCCATTTTGAAACCGAAACCAAAAAACAAACAGACGTGCATTAAGGTCCCATATTGTTCAATGTTTGTACTAAGCTTGAATGAAACATTCATCCACTACCAAAATACGATTCTGGATGAAAGAATTGCTCGAATTTGATGAATTAAAACATTAATTTAAACGGCCTCCATTTGACCATCTTGAACTGAATTGTCAAATGAAATCCATGTGAATATGTGCGACATGATGTATATCTAAATTTTGAAAATGTTTGGTCAGGGAATGTCTTAGATATAGCTCGGGAACCAAATTTTGTTAAAACTAAATGGTCACAAAGCTGTCACTTTGAATTTGATCTGAAAAACAAAATGACTTGCATCCAGATCCAATAATGTCTGATGTTTGTATGAAGTTTGCACAAAAACCTTCCATACATAACAGATTTTGTTCCGGAATGCAGAAATGTATGATTTTGATGAACTTTTAACATTCAAGTGGCCGCCATTCAGCCATCTTGAATTGAATTGTCCAATTGTCAATGTCAAGGGATGTCACAGTATGGTTCTGGAACAGCATTTGTTAAACAAGCAGCCTCTCGGCTGAGATAGGTCCGCTGTAAGCAATGCACATTTCAATAAAAGAACTGAAGATATCAAAGCAATTGGACTTGCGATTTTTAAGAAGAAGTTGAACATATAACTTTTTACCAAAAATGACAACAATTATTAATCAAAATTAGAGAATTGAAGATATCATCACAAAGTGAACAAATCTACCTAAGGTACAAGTAGACCAAGTATCAAAGCAATAAGAATTGTCAGTAGTTTTCAAGAAGAAGTCAAAAAAATAAAAAGTTTACACGGATGAGAGACAATCACTCATACAGTATGATAAGCTCCGCTCGACAAAGTCGTCGACAACAGAGCTAAAACATGAAGGTCAACACATGGCAATTAGTGCACATGGGAAATGAGATCTTGTATTCTGTGTACATGTTTCAATTACTCTACTCTACTGCCCCCAAAGAGCTAATCATAGATTTCATGAAAAGGTCTAAGGTAGACTTGCTTACAAGTCTTTTTTGTTTTTATTCTTTAAAAGTGGAACAAAAACATAAAGAAATAATAAAAAAAAAACAACAACAATTTTTATCCTCTGACGTGCCCCCAGCTACAAGGACTAGGTCTGCATAAAGAGAATCTATTTCTGGAATAAATACATTAAACCAATCAGAAACTACCATATTTGCATAATACTATAATGTCTTTTTTGTTAAAGGGCGGGAGTTGTCGCGCCACGTTCTGTTCGATATGGGACTCACAGCTACGTATACAACACGTGTAAAATAAATTGTTTATTTACATGAAATTCGAACACACGCTGCGCGACGACCACCGCGCTTTAATATATGTTCTGTTCAAACTTTTATTGTTTAACGTTTCGTGATGTCATAGAGTGCGAGTATAATTATATTGGCATTGTAAAGAATAGGCCACATAAAACCGACTATCAGTAATTGGTTTATTGCCCAGTTTGCTTGTAAGTGCGTTTGAATATGCTGTACACCAAGGCACACAGTTTTGTTTACAATGTGACACATGAAACATCTATCTAGATTTAGTTAATTCCAAACATTTGTTGCTGAATGTAACGAATACAAACAATTGCGGGTTAATGACAACGAACATGATAGATTTAGTATGTATGGTAGTCGACGAGCCTTATATTATCATATTGTCATGAGCAATGTCGATAAAGTGAGTCAATATACTGTGTTTCACGGCAACCTTTAAACGGATAGTTATATACCCTATATATAAAATATGTTTTTGAAATGCAGTCCCTCACCCCCTTGGCTATTTTCGCAGATTTTTGTCGCCGGAGCGATTCACGTCCCAAATTTTGGTTCTCTGGGCGTCTCTAATAAATACTCTATCCAGGTATGTAATGGCAATCTTGAGCTTCAACCTGAGCTTGCTCAGAGTCAACCTGAGCTCCACACTGAGCTTCAACCTGAGCTTGCTCAGAGTCAACCTGAGCTCCACACTGAGCTTCAACCTGAGCTTCCTCAGAGTCAACCTGAGCTCCACCCAACTTGAACCCTGGAAATTGTTTACAACAGAAGCTCTAAATTCAAATCAGTTGTGTTGGAGTCACACATTAAAGCAGTTGTTTCACACACATGAAACATTTTTCCTTTTTTTATTCTAATCTTTATTTCTGCAGTTACAGTTTTATTTTATTCTGAAAAGGAAAAATTGACTAATTATTTAAATAATAATAATGTTAATTTAATATTATTTTTCTATCAGTCTACAACAATAAAGTAATAAATGGAAGTTGAGTTGGTTAATAATAAGATAAAGGTAATAGTAAACAAAAGTACCTGAAAGTAATTGTTTTTATTTTCAGTTTTATTATGTAATTCATCTTCAGTTTTATTAGCTCCGCTGTCCACTTTGTCGAGCGGAGCTTATCATATTATGAGTGATTGTCTGTCGTCGTCCGTGTCAATGTTTTACAATTAATGCTTTGATACTTGGTGTACATTGTATATGTACATTGGGTAGACCTCTCTCAGATTTGTTCATTTCAAAACTCAGATTCGAATTTCAGTTAGATCTGAAAATATGTGTGATGCACTAGAATGACATTACAAAACATGCGATCTTCGGGTAAAGACGTGTCAATTAACTACCAGCATATTAGCCATGGCTCACACCTCCTCTCTTACATGCCCCCCAATTCACACATACAATAGGTGTTGCTAGTCTGTTCTATAGTAGTCTGAGGTATAACATAGGCAGAACAAAACACTTTCATCATTAACACATAAACAATACACATAAACACTAGGTACAATTCCTTGAGTAAAACTGCAGAACAGAAAAGATTGTTCCGTCACCCGCTTGTTTTTTTTTTCTGCTCATCAAAAACGTCAACTGGAAACAAATTAAAAGTACCGATAAAAACATTGTTTAAATATGTGATATCATAATTTGAAGCTTGGCAGCAGGTAGAGCACTTCCTGTTGTCCAGCCATTTTAACCCTTGTAACAAAAATTAGCATACTTATAAGCACAGGGATATATGTACATATATTGATATTTGAAGGGGGATTTGAGTAAATTTGATTATCTAACTCGAATTAAAAAACAAAATTTTGCAAAGTTTGATGAGTAAAAACCAGGCTTGACTATGCCCTGGTTTGTTTGATCATGGATGTACTATGGTTTGATTACAAGCTACATTAAGACCAAACCAAGGATGTCCATCTTTCATTTTGTCGGTTCATTCTGGTTTTCTCCAAATTCACAACCAAAAATGGCTTGTTTATTGGTGAGCTAGGAAGGTTATCCAATTGATTGTTTTATCAAAGAAACAACGACTTAAGTATATATATATTCAACCGAGTAACAAACTCTGATAACATATTATTAAGAGAAGCCTACTTAGTAAATAAGAATGTAAAAAGTAAATGGTTTACAAGTGTAGAAACCCTCATGCAAGATATTGATGTTATTACCATTGTAAACTCAAGATAAATAAGACAAATTTAGACTTTATTCATAAAAAAATCAAAAAATCATTTGGATTTTTCACATGCATAATGATAATAGAAAACAAACCTTGGCTAAAACAAACTAAGAACATACAGACTTTTTAAACAAGATTTAAAAATTGAAAATTACTTAATGAATATGCAGAACCATAATCTTAGGAGGTTAATTGCAAAATTCAGGACAAGCAACCATGACCTTAAAATTGAGAAAGGCAGACATAATAATATGCCACTGGATAAAAGAACATGTGATTTGTGCAGCCAAAATATAATTGAGGATGAGTAGCATTTTGTAATGAAATATACAGCCCACCATACTCTAGCACCAGCCTTAGCTGTCTTCCTAAAAAACAGCTATGGAACAAAACAGCAACAACTATCAGTGTATTAGGTTACATTTTGTGTTCATTCTATATTCTGTATTCACCATTGGTTGCAAATTGTCTTTATTGTTTATTCATATTTGTTTTTGATTTTTTTTATATTTTTAGAATAGGTTTTTCTTTTTCTTTTTAGATTATAGTTTTTAAATTTCTTTCTGTAAGACCCTTTTATCCTTTCCTAAGGATTTTATGCGTCTAATGAATATTGTTATTATTATTATAAACAAAGCTAGGTCTAACACCTCTCCACCCCAAAACAGACTTTTGATGTGTTCTTTATAAATGTATTGTATTTGACGTGTACTTTTGATGTGTACTTATTTTACGCTTGTCTCAACGGAATTTTCTGTTTTTACTTTTTTATTATTATGATTTTTTTCTTTATTGTAATTTTATCTATATTTCAACAGAGATTTGATAACAACAAAGTTATTATTATTATTTGTTTTATTCATTCTATATACCACAGCCTTTCTATATAGGATGGAGCTCAATACTGTGAATAGACAC